TTTACGCATTAGTTGGGGCGACGGAGTTGCGGTCATAGAAGTGTTGCGCCGTAGTGGAATGTATGCAGATGAGTGCATACGTTTGCTGAGACACCTGAGGTGGATTCGTCATGTAAGCCGTATGGATTCAACGCGGATACCGAAGCGACTCTTATATGGTCAGCTGAGTGTATGCAAGCGGCATGTATGGAAACTGAAGCTTCTTTACTAGGACATGATCAAAGTGAGCCTCTCTGTACTAATTTTGATTGCAGGTCATAGGAGTCGAAGGCGGTTGCTTGGCGTGCATGGCGCGATCTGATCACGAAGGTAGTTGCCGAGGTGCAAGAGAAATCCATCACGCATGCAGAGAAGAATTGGAAATGGGCGAAGCCATAGGCGCAGATGGGTTGTACTGCATAAACATCGAGCTCATGTTGCGGTAGCACATGCGGTCGCGAGTGCCTGAGTCAGGCAGGCCTAGTAAGCCATGAGTAAGGCCACTCGTAGCCAACACCGAAACGACGACGGGTCTTGCAGAGAACGCAGGGGTAACCAACACAATTTTTGTAGATACGCTGCATTCGATTTACTAACCGCGTTGTTGCATGCTAAGTCTCTTCATTTTAGGTAGTGGGTTTTCAATTTTGTCCTAATGCTTTTTATATCAAATTAATGTGTAACTGAATTATCCTCTACAAACTTGCACATGTCCCTTAAACTAATTTATTTAACTTCGATAACATGTTCGCTTATAAGGCATATGCTTAAAATATATTTTCTAACGTCTTGAGTTTTTCGCGGATTTGTTCCTAGCCAATTTATTTTATATGCTCATTTATTGAAGAGTTATGTTACCGCAGCTGTATGCATTAATCGATTCTTTTTATTTTATCTCGTCGTTTCAAGTGATTGGCTGTCGTTTGATATCTTCGATGTGGCTGTGCTTGATGTGCATGTTGACAAGGTGTCTACCTGTCTATTACCCACTATATCGTCCATACTGGCTCCAAGAGACAGTTGGTCGTTGCTGGAGAGCATGAGGTGCATGGTCCTTGTGGCCGTGCTAGGCTGAAAGAGTTGTTCCATGCACTCATTGTAGAGCGAACTACGGTCCAGACACTGCCTTGTGTGCGCTTGATTCCCAAATATAGCCTGCTTGTGTTTACCTGTGAAGGAGTATGGACCAGCTCCGTTGATGAAACGTGGCTCCCAACCACATGCCCCTGGTCTTATTCCCTCGGGTTTCCAATGGATATGGGGTGTGTGGTTGGAGCTGTGGGTGGTGCAGCGTAAGCCACCTATGGTCCCTCTGTAGGCGCAGGCGTTCTGTGGCTGGCCACAGCGACAGGCAAATCTGAAAGCTGATACTGCCAACCATATATAACTATATATATTCGATGCTACCAGCTCAAGTGCCTCTCACAGCGATGTTCCACTGATTATTCTAGGCCCACCAGTGCTCATTATGTGTATAGTAGATTATTTGACGACCGCAGCGGACGAACTTCGCGACACGAGTTGGAGTCCCGAACGGGGCCTGCAAAGGGCCGCGCAGAAAGCTGACTTACTCAGTTCGCCATGCACGACGCAAGTTGCTGCTCGATCCATGGCAGCTCACCGAATTAGTCCACTATCTTGGCACGGGTTGCTATGCGGCAGGCGTGAATATGGCTACAGCCAAGCATTGGAGACCGCGAGCACGGTTAGACGTATCTAGACAGGTGACGTCAATCGCCTCAACAACGCACGGTCGGAGGTGAACACAAGTGATCTATAAAGATAACCATGTTCTGACTCTAATACACACAGGTATAACAATTTTCCTCTTTTACTTGTATCTGGCTGGTTTGGCGGCCCCCCGGACAGACAGTGTAAGCAGCGTAGCGTTATAACTGGACTTGGCTCCTCTACTTGAACATCCTTGCTATACTGGTGAAGGTATAGCTTGCAAATGGATGCATGGAAAACACGCTATCCAATATCCTTTACGAGATGGTTGACCTTGTGAAACTACCCTATTAACGCTAAAAAGCGTCCTATGTCATCTTTCTTTGGCAACTGAAGGACAGCGCAATGTTCTATCAGCAGCAAGAAGTTGCGATGGACCAATAAGATGCTTGATTTTAGCGGCTTTGCATCAAACGAATTTATCTCCCTAGTACAATGTTAGCATGCCACTAAAAAGCGTAACAGGATCTATTCCACTTCAAAAGGGTCATACGCAACAAAGGATATGAGGCTTTCTTTTTTATATTAGGTGATGTCACTTTCTGTCTTGAAATACTGTGTGTCAAGTTGGGTGATGTTTTTCGGATACATGCTGCTAGTATATAAAGAATACAGACAGTAGTAACTGAGGTGATTAAGTGCCTGCAATGTTATTCATCTGAATAGTATCTTAGGTGCCTTGACAACTTATATTTGGAATGGCGCGGATTTTGAGGCAATATGATTGGGTTTTGCAAGATTTCTGAAGGTCTGTAGGAGTATCAAGCTTACTGATCTGTCTGAAACATAATACTTTTACATTCCGCAGGAATGTGAACTTAAGTTTAAGCATTTGAGGACTACAGCGGATACCAAGGCAAAGGTTTTGTGCTTCGGGTAGTTCGCAATTGGAACGATCTTCGACCTGCTTATGTGCAATGTATTACCATAAAGACCTTCACAAGACGCCTAGACAGGTGTTGGATGGACCCTTTCTTAAACTGATTGCAAGTTTGTTGAAGATCATCGCTGAGATCTTTTAGTCCATGATCCATGAAAGTGCAAAGACCACTTTTACGTTTGATTTACCATTTGCAGTAGCAAGGGGCGCAGCTCATGCTATAAAGTGTATGAGACATGGTCAGCTTGTTAGTGAACGAAACGCTTGGTAAGCGGGAGTCTTTATCAAGTTTAAGTTTGCATTCAAACTCAATTGACACTGGACCGATAGGAAATTCCGTGTACGTTTAGAAGCGGTTCGCCGTAGTCCCATCTCATTTAATCAGACTCTCATACGTCCGATAAAGCACTAGATAGCTGTTTCAACCTCCTGGGCGCGTCCGTCGTGCGCATTCCCCAGACCCGTGCGGGGTCCTGACCCCATAACTTCCGGATGCCAGCGATATGTGTCACTAAGCCATGTGTGACTGCAGTTGCGCTACATAACTGACAGTTGGTTAGGATTTAGCGCGGGTCATTCTCCATTGCTATGCCAGTTACGAACTGTGCAGAGGACAGTGGTTGGCCTCAGAGTTACGACTTTCCCTATAACGACTGTATACGACACAGCACTTTAAAACCATACGGACTGGTTTTGGTCACTAATAAGCAGTGGAAATTTGGGTCAGTTTAGTAGTAATTCGCTGCAGTATCACTCAGTCAGGCAGATACGCTATATCTCAGTCAACTGTCAATCAATCAGGTCCACCGCCGTTACACATGGCTTAGTGACACAAGCTGCTGGCATCCGAAAGTCATGGAGTCGGAATCCGCGGCGGTCCGAAGAACGCGCACCACTGACGAGACGCAGAAGGTTAAAACAGCTGTCTAATACTTTTTCAGACGTGTAAAGGCTTCTGACTAAGCGACTGCAACAAATTGCATTTAAAATAATACCTAACTCCAAACTATTCATTAGTAATATCAGGTGTATGTTCATTCGTGAGTGCGTTGTTGAGCCAAGGTAGTTGTTGATGGTAATAGCTGCAACCTAGGAAAATGAGAGCAAAAAGCTTGAAGCGCACCATGGTCGACCAAGTAACGTCCACCTGGCTCACACTAGCCTGCCTGCCGCAGTAAGTAGAAAGAAATAAAGAAACATAATATTGACAATATGTGACAGTAACATTTGGGATGTATAATAGAAGCTTTGGAACTAGAATCTGGGAGCCGCAAGTCTATAGCGAATTTTTCTACGGTTTGTAATAATACCACTCTCTAAAGCAACGCCTTTCAGGAAGTAACCACTCTACGTAGCAGTCAAAGGTCGTCCCCATCAGATCGTGGTTTGCGCAACTACATCGAATGACTGCGGAGAGCTGAGGTAAAGTTAGCCTGAAAAACTAAGAGAAATCATGGCCAATCTTCTCTGTCTGTATGCATGAGGCCAGAATCAAGTCTCCACGATATCAATCATAGTGCAGCGAAAACATTCTGAACTTAAGGAATATCCCTGGATACGGCAGGTGCCGTATACGTTGAAGCATTTTGGTGCCAACCCTAGGATCCGCTCATTGAGATTATATTACAAACCAAACACATTGGACAAGGTTGAAAGCATTATCTACACTTCGGCCTAATAAAGGCTGAGAACCACCTGATGAACATCTCCAGTGTGATGATTCCAAATAAACTTCGGTTCATCCACATTTTTCTGGATCATTTTCCGGTAGCTTTCTTTCCGTACGCATTAGGATTGAAATGCCATTACAGAAGAACACAAATTTAGACTGCAAAGAAACTTAAAACACCTCATTGTCACCTAGCAGATATCGTGTGGAAGGAGCATTAGGTCCTTGACCTAGGGTTGAACACCTGAAATAATTAATAAGCACCTGCTGCAAAATATGACCTGACACGATGTATTTCCGACTTACGTTTTACATAACAGTACGTGACTGGTTTTGTTGATGTGGATAGCCACAGTTTATCAATATTTATTACAGGTATGAAAATAATCGTGTTTTCCGTGTAATCATTGGAGTATCATTGGAGTGGTAGAGAGCAGATAGGGCATCCTGTGTCAGCTCCATCACATCCCGTTCAGAGCAAGGATTGTGCGACATGTTGCGAGGCGGTATTCCGCAAGGGACCATTACGGTCGCATCGAAAACAGCAGGATCCTTGCATACTCAGCAGATAGGAGTCTAACAATTTCTTAAAATTGTAATTTGAAGCAGTTACGTAAACGTGCTGTTTGGCTAGTGTAATAAATACAAGAAGACTTCAAAATAGCTTAAAACTTTGATATAAATTAATAACTAATTAAAGGTTTAAAAGAAACTTGATAATATAAATAATAATGAACTCACTTCTTGAGCCATCCTCGATAATAGATGCACCTAGTGGAAACAGTTTGGTGCCCCAAGAACCTCTTGGAAAGCCGCGCAAATATAGCCTTCCTAATCGATGATGCTGTATGGATATATCCTGTACGACATAAGATTTTGTGAATTCCTCTCCCCAGTAGTCAGCATTCATAGTCATAGCATATTTCAGGAACAAAATAAATACAAAAAGGTTAGGAGGATACATGTTAGCACATCTGAATTCGGCCATTTGATTTTAATTTTTGGAATTTAACTTCCAGTAGGATGGATTGTGAGAGTAAGTAATTGCAAATTCAATTTGCTTGCAGCTAATATGTAATTAGTGGCACATTCCGTTTAAAATATGCAGATGAACAAGTTCATATGTGCCAATACGTGATCTTAATGGTGTTTTCTACATCAAACTGAGATTCCGTGTGTGGTAGCCCTATCCGATTGTAAATGATCCACGCTGGTATGAAAATGTAGAACGGTAACTACTAACGAATTCAAATGAGTATCACATTTAGGAACTGTATTTATTCATTTACGAGAAGTTAAAAGTCAATGTAGTTATAGAGATCAAACGACAGTTATAGGTATAAAAATCCGTTTTAGCCAAATACTATAAAAACAAACATTCTTTTTATTTACTGAGTAATATCACGCACTCGCTACCTTTAGTAACCGTTGCTAACCGCCAGGTGTGTTGCGTACCCAAAACACGCTTTTAGTATTTTGAAACGTTAGTTTTTGCGGTTGTTTCAGCCTTTAAAACGTCCACATCCGGTATTTCTAGACCAGTCTTATGATGGATTCCAGCTTTCCTAATCGGAAGGGAAATGTGTGTGCGGGTGGGTTCAAGACTGTCCTTCCGCCAACGGTTTCTCCGTTGCGTTCTGCAAGGTTCAGGCCTTGCCCTCCAACTCTTCAGTTTATACCTTAATGATCCAACTGATTAACTGTGTGTGCCATCCCTAATTTTTGCGGAGAACTTGAAACTAGTTCACGATAGACGATCCGATTGCTCCACTGACCATTCAGAGGGCTCTGGATAGAATTTGGGACTGCTCAATTTTGTGGCAATTGCCCGTCAATTTAGCGAAACCTTCAGTTTTACACGTTGGTCCGAATGACTTGCCGTGGAGTTATTTACTTGGCGGCAACGAGATACCGCGAGTCCAACTCCAATCTGACCTCGGTGTTTTGCTGTCATCTGACTTTAAGTCCAGTGAATACTGGACGACAGCTGCTCGCAAAGGTTCCAACATGTTGTGCATGATCCACAGGTCATTCGGGATCATGACCACCGAAATGTTTGTTACCCTATTTTCGGCTTTTGTAAGGCCGCAGTTGGAATACTGCGTTCAGGCTTGTGCTCCATGCCTGGTTTGTGATAAGATGATAATTGAACGAGTCCTGCGGTCCGGGAAGAAAATGGTGCAAGGATTAAAGAAGCTGACGTACCCGGAGAGGATACGTAACTTAAATAGGTTTTCCATGTATTACAGGTGGCTTCGGGGCGACTTGATCCTCGTGTATCGTATACTGATGGGTCACGTTGGTCCCGCTTTGACTGGACTGTTTCGCCGAACTCGAGCGCCAACCCACCGTGGCCACCCATTAAAATTGCACATACCCCGGTCTGACTGGGCTTCGGCAGCTTTTCGGTTAATGCGTAGGGTCATAACTTATTGGAACGCACTGCCTGCAGATGGGTGTTGGTATCGACGACGAAAGAGTTCCATCGTCGACTTGACGCTCTCGGTCTGCAGTTTACAGTCTTCCCCTTCATGTCTCCAACCTTACTCGTCTGTTACGGCCTACGCTTCTTTAACTCATTTTTACTTGCATTTTAACATTGCCCACGAACTTCCATACGCTTTTCTTCTATCTTTTCTTTCCCCCACTAACACTACTGTTTTCTTTTATTCTTCAAGTGGCTGGCACAGCGGGGACTGCTAGTGCAGGGCACGTGGGCATTGTTTGGTTGACCAGGTGAACGTCTGTGTTGATTTGGCTCTCCTTTGGCACATGAAGGCACCGGTTTCCGTGCTGGATCAACGACGTTTTCGAAGATGGAACATACGAGGGATTTTCCTACTGTTCCTGTTCCACCCGAACATGAACTCGACACAACTCGTTTGGTGAGTGCCTTGCTGCACCTTTTCTTGCTCTGGTTGATTCGCTACCTATTTTTGTAGCCTGCACCATATACTTTGGGTTCAGACGCCTCCAGCTTCTAAACTAGCCTTTATTTGACACGTCTCTTGCGTGTCACTGATTACCGACCATTATCCCAGGCTCCACCCAACAGGTGACCGCATGGGTTGCGACTGGCTTGTGAGGTTTAAATATTTGTTACTTAAGTTAAATAGCATGACGAATGTTTCTGTCAGACTTTTCTCGTCAATTGGAAGCTTTTCTTATTTTAGAATACACGCTCCTTGGAACTTATATAAAGTGCTCGAAATTAGCACTATTCTCCTTGCTATACACCACTATAAGATTAAAATTACTACTTTGCAACTAACACACTTTTCTTCTCCTCAAGCGTTATACGAATAAAAGAAAATTGCTATGGATCTTCCGATATTTCATCTGTTAATGTGTTAGCCAGGCCACCCCTCAACAAAACCTGAGTAACATTGATCTGTGCCTCTCGCCATAGGAGCCAGCAAGCCCATGGTTATGTCCCCCAGCAGCACTTCAAAGCATCCTACTAGCAGGACTAAAGAGCTGCATGGAAACAGTCCACTCGGTTATTTGAACGCGGTGCCCTCATGCTTATCTTCGTGCACGTCTTCAACTGGCAGCCCACAGAGCACAACTAGCCACTCCGAAGGAGCAACGCCTCCTGTTACATTCACTGACCATGCAACCCGAATTGAGCCACCGTGGAGCGCGGCGTGGAGGAGCCGTTCCTTTGTGACACCTAGCACCATAAGGTAGCACTCCGTGTTTTCTGAAGCCGGTTTGCGCCACTCACGCAATTATTCACTGAGGACCTTTCATGCAACGGAGTCTGACATTTTAGCTCTGACAAATCCGTTATGGGAATGCCGCTACATTTTTACAAAGTTCGGACTAATAACCATTGAACCTCGAGGAGAAATGTGGCAATTTAAAAGGAATTTCGCGTCTTGGCTAACGGAGGCCAAATACCTCTCGTATTTCGCGAATTGTCTTGAAAAATGACATAGTTCCCGCGGCTTTTATCTCCCAAAGCTCGTGTGCACAATGTCAAAAGCTTCAGCGCTCACCAGCCTTACTTTAGAAAAACCAAAGTGCCTTCGAACGGGCATCAATGAACTTGAGCAACCAGCTCAGCAGAGTGCGAGCAAGCTGCAGCTCATAAATTTCGTGTGCTGCGCCCGCGTTAGCTGACAAACAAGCCTGTACTTATGTTGGCACGCAATCCAAGGAGTTGCCGTTCATTTTGGAGCTTACGAACATTCGCAGTATCAAGCTTGAGCTTGATGATGTATTTCTCTGTGCGGACAACCTTGCCTCGATATATGTTGTCCGACTGAAACATGGCTTCAACTTGGTAAACCGGTCCCGAAATTAACCGCGGTAGAGCCACTGGATCCAAGTGCCAATGCCAAAAACGTTCACGGCGGCGTATTATTTCATATAAATCCTGGTATTCGAGGTGAACACATGTCTACGCATCACGTGCGCTGACGAGCAGTTCGAGCAAATTCAGTATAGAGTAAATTTTGGGCCGAATGAACGAAGAGTGGTAGGCGTCGTCCGGTGCCTTGTGAATTCGTCTTGCGATTGGATCGAGGTAGTGTAGCAGCAGCTGAACTGCCGTACGTGCCGTTGTTGGGTGACTTCAATTCTCCGAATTTCGATTGGCAACGGTATCGCACTCTGCTTGGAAGTCTCATCTTCGCGTTTGTAAATATGATGATAGCAATGAATGCTGTGCAACACACCCCGAAACCAACTAGACTTCTTTCGGGGCAACCTAAAGATTGCTTGATCTCCTTTCTGCAAACAGTGAGCAACCAACCGAAACCATTAAGCTATTTGTGCCAATTGGGTGTAGTGACCATCCCACCTTAAGGCAATCCAAAGTTTACCATCTTGGGGATCCTTACGACCACTCCATCCTAACATCTGGAAGAACAACTTGGAGAGCTATCGGATTACTGCTGGTTGGTTACTGCTTGGTTGACATGTATGACTGTATTTTGGCATGTTGGGTAGTACCGCAGCAATGCCTAACCGATTTATTTAAGCACACCGTTCCTTTGCCATCAATTAAACGTCAAACGAGGAACCACGGATTGCTAAGGAATAAGTTGTACTGTCTGGACTATGCGCGGTTGTGGAAGCGTTGCATAAGCTCAAAACCACCACAAACAATAGGCTTTTCATGCTAACAAGATTAGGGTGGCCCCTTCTGTTACCCTCTTCTTTAAGGCGATCTTCCCAAGGAACATCGGGTCATCTGCGCACTCCGCCCGTTGAGTTGCGAAGCCGAACTGATGAGAGCAGGACATCCGTTGTCTCATCCGCCTAGTTCAGGTTTATTCGAAGATTTCGAGATTTACCAGAGTGCACTGAGGTGGTGTGACGCGCTGCGCTTTGCCTCATAGTACGCACAACCCGAACACCAATTGTAGCGAAGATGGAACTCCACTGGTTGCGATCACCCTGCAACTTGCCTTTCCTAGTGCCAGAGTTGGGCTCAGGAAAATGGTGCACACGAGAGTTAATGCAACGTGGTTTTGTCCAACGGGTGTCGGCTTTAAAGTTGTTGCTGGTACTTGGGCTATTTAGAAGTCACCACTGACATTGACGGCGAAAGCTGCGTTGCTTCACGTGTGCTCGGTACAGCAGATGTACATACGTGGATCTCTCCAGGTGTGTTTATCAAAGCAACCAATGCGTACGTTACCTGCATGTTCTCTGCACCCGGTTGCCCCCGGCTCTGAGCTGTCGGTGTCATAATCAAATTACCAGCTGAAGCCACCAGGGGTAAAGGAGTAGTAACAGGCACGCTTGAAGTTTGTCAACTTATGGAAGTGTGGGACCCAGAGGCGTTAGAGTCATAGACGCTGCAGTGCGGTTGGCACGTCTAGGTCTCTTCTTAGGCTTAGATTCAGCGAGTACTTTGACTGGTTAAGTAGTAGCGTAGCCAAAATTACCTCCTCGTGGTGCCAGCTGGGTGGTTTGGGTTTACCCCGTTCCAGCAAACAGTTCGGCGGCAGTGTTCCAGGTGTCGGGGGTTCACCTGGCAAGCGTTCTCCTTATAAAATGCCACAACTGTCTGTTTAACAGCACTGTGACCGCGGTTGTGACCCGCCAACAACTAACGTCACCCTATTGCTTCACTTGGGAGCAGCATCAAGTCCACCATTCTCAAGCATTCCATTAGCACTGGCGACACGGTCAAATGTGCAGCAAAGCAAATACATATCCCATAAACAGGACTAGACATGCCTACATTCACACCTACAAACGTTCATATATCAACATGTGCGA